TAGCTATGGCTGGCAAATCCTGGCAACCCAGCCATTAGCTCCCAAGCGGAAGGAAGAAAACCAGGCACCCGTCACACCGATGAAACGGTTGAAAGACAGAGAGGGACAGGGGAGGGAATCAGCCTCTGAGAAGAATCGCCATCTTTAAGAAAACGCTAATGTTCAAGAAAACGCTGACTAAACCCAAACCTGCAACAACGCCCTTTAGTCCAAGAACACGTGGAATCCTGACACATGCGCATACTGAAACACCGCTGACCGGGAAGGTAACACTTGTGCATTTAACTGCATTATATTGTAATGAGTACAGGTGACGAGAAGAAGTTAGATCATCAACAAAGGAATATCATCTTNACCGCTGACCGGGAAGGTAACACTTGTGCATTTAACTGCATTATATTGTAATGAGTACAGGTGACGAGAAGAAGTTAGATCATCAACAAAGGAATATCATCTTGATTTACTACCAAATTCTCAGAACTTCATTAAAGGAAATGATGCATGTGAGGAAGGAGAGTTAGTACAGTAAAAACCCACATATAAGAACCTAGAATTTTCGAGGTCAGGCTGAACAGGTCCTTATATTTAAGGGTGGTTTTTCATAATACAGGCTGATTTGTAATAGTAATTGGACTGAATGGAGTACAATACAGGGAGTGATCACGCGAGTAACTTCAAAATCGGGCGGGCGCGAGGTGCGCGGCCGATTTCAAATTACGAGCATGATTACTCCCTGAATTGTTCGACACGAGGTCAAATTACTGATTAATCGTGTCTATAACAAATTTCGGAATTAAAAATGTCTTTTGAGAACTTCTTTTGAGCGAAAACATCTGTAACGCTGTTCATAAGTTTTCAAAACTGTAGGAAACAGTGCGAAGGAAACCATTAAAGAGCGCGTAATTGACGTGCGAATCACGTGGGTATCCAATTACGAAAAGTTCAAAATTGGATACCTGTAATTGGACACCCACGTGATCGCGCGCCGATTACATGACAAATAGGCGCGCGGAGAGCTATTCGCGATCGAGAATTTTGTTATAGATAGGATTAGGTTCTTAATAGATTCTTCTTTTTCAGAGATTGTATATATTTTATTTCACATGGACGAAAACTGAGCGTTTGTTAATTGCATTGTCTAAATGATAATTGTGTTTGAATCTGTCTTAAGCCAGTGTAAGTCATTTACTCATCTTACAAAAAGTGGGTTAAATGTTTTTTTCTTTGCTCGTGAATGAAAGCCAATGGCAGCCATGTCAGATTGGACTAGTTTCTGCAACTGGTGGCTCTGTTCAAGGTAGGAACTAAAGGATACTTTCAAAAGGTGTGCATTTAATATCCTAGCAAGCCTTTGCAATTGTGTTTAATTAGGAAGTAAACTGGATGGGTTCATCATAATTCACAAAATTCTTGGTGAACATTATCGGCCAACTTAGTTTTCTTGTAATTTTGTTAATTGATCGTTGTATTTTAAGATGCAGTCGATACATTTGGCACCAATCGTATTTAGTTTGTTTGCTTGGTTTTCAACATTTTGTTTCTTTGTTGGTTTGTTGTTGTTGTTGATCTTTTTGCGAAAAGAAGTTGGACGCCCATGTTATTTTTTCGCATTTGGACCTCTCTCGCCATTTTCAGGCAAATATACACTTTATCTTCGGGCCAGCCACTGGCTCCACTTGGTGGAGGGGATGGAGAGTAGAGGTAGAGGCAGGGGAGGGGTCTGAACTTCTCACCTCCCTTGTCTTTCCATTATTTTTGACTCTTGGCGTTCAAATATACTCAGGGTAATCCCTTTTTTCCTCCTCCTTCATACAAATATAAATCGTGAATCATGGTACCTCCCTGTAAACATTTTTAGATTGCAAGAAATTAAGAAATCTCAAACAGATAATGAATGAGCAGTCCTCAAAGAGGGTGGGCCCTTGCTGCCACTAACTTTCAACTGACACAGTTTTGGCTCTATTTCTTTGTCACAGACATGTAAAATGATTTAGGAAATCCCGAACCATCGAGTTTGCATTCAAGTTCGAGTTCGAGTTGGACTTCGAGTTGCAATTCCTGTTAAAGTTTGAATAAACTAATATATAAATACGCAAATAAAAACGGCAATTAAAAATAACAAAATAAAAAAATGGAGGAAGACGGATGGGAGGTGCTCGCAAAACAAGAGAACCCGTTGATACACTGCAAAAGATGCACATAGTGGTACAGTGTAAGTCTTATCCTTTCATCATGGATCAAAACGGTATTTCAGAGGAGACTGAAGGAAGAAATGCCGTTTTGGAATTTATTTTTCTGTACGTAGCTTCATTTGCTTATGTATGGAAAATTAGAAAAATTAACGGAGCGTCTTCTGGCCAAGCTACATCCTTCAAACACGGTGAATACAATCTTCTACCTAGTTTCTTAACGTTACGATTCACACATGGAGTAAACTTCCATTTTCAAAAAACTTATTTGCCATCGGGTTCCCATACAAACAACGTAATATCTACTGACTTTGCCTACCCGTAAAGATGGCGTCGAAAACCGTGCTAAGGTCTGTTAAACTTGTTCAGATTTCTAATAACCCCAAAGATTTGGCCCGGCGGTTAGGTGTCTTCTGTATATTATCTTAGGTAAGACAGCTTGCGTGGGTACGAGCTAGCCAGGGATATATTTTCTCATCCATACACTTTAAATCGGCTCCGATTAATTCAATTCAAAACGATTCAACTCAGATCAATTCACTTCGAAACTTAATATGTGACTGGTTGTTTGATAAATTCTTGACATTCCTACATCTCTATGAGAGGACTAGCTTTTTCAGCTTTTACAAATTTACCTCCCACCCCCTTACCAATTTCAAAGATAGGAAAAGGGCGCGGTTTTGTTCGAGTGCGTATTGATCATTGGTTTGTTGATAGGGGGTGGCCATTTCTCTCTTTATTCAGTCCATAAACTGCTGGTAGTCTGTT